TATATGATGGTTTTTATACAAATACATTTTTAGGATCAGTTCAAGTTCAACTACTTGTAGAGTTACAAAATTGCCGATACCTTCCTGTGCACTCGTAGGAAGATTATTTAGTTAGGCATCAATGATCAGTATACACAACATTTGAAAAATGGAATATGGAAGAAATAAGTTGATCAACTATGATAAAAACACTTTTATCACTGTATCATCTTTGTTCGAATCGATTATTTACCCCGTTCGAATTCTTGTACGAATAAAAGCTTCTTCGAATGAATTCATTCGAATTTTTATTCTAATCGAATAAAAATTTATCTAGATTGAAGTTTATATCCGAAAAAAATTGTATTCTAATTTTTATTCCATTAGATATTTACTCGATAGCGTCGAATAAATCTTTATTTGTTAATCTTTATCTCTTATCCGTCATCCAAATAACATTTTGCCCAGCTCTATGTTTGTATTATTCGTTGCAGTGACGTATGTTATTGACATGGATTATTAACTCTTCGACGGTGGAATTCTTTAGTTAATTGTTTCAATTCTTTGAGATTTCGTTGCAAGAACCAGTTGATAAATGTTGAAGTTGTTAGAAGAAGTCTGTGTCAACAGACGAAAGTCGAAAAGAAATTTATTTTTGCCATCAGAAATTAAAACGAAGTGACAGTAATATATATAGTTGTAATTGCATTAAATTCGCAGTTCGGTGAAAAGAAACGACAGGTATTTCGAGGATCGATGCATGTATTATTGCGAAACTGATTTGTATTTAGACAGATTCGGTTACAAAAAATAAATAATAAATAATATACAATATGTCTCCTAGTCAACTGTGCAACTTTTATTGTTTTCTACTAGTTTCTCATGTAGCATGTAATCACGAAACTAAACGCGCGTCGATCAGGTATGCTCGTACGCATTTTCTCAGAGTCATTAACTGAAGGACGTTGTTTACAAACTGGTAGAATGTGCGAAATTCTAGTATTCCAAGGAAACGAAGATATCCGTAGGTGGTAATATCATGCTGCGCATAACAACTCGAAAAGTGTTCCCATCAAATTTACGCGAAATTGAATATTTGCTGTTTCACAAGAATTTAAATGTATGCAACTGTAAAGTGAAAATAAAAGTTCGTAACTTTTTAATAGATATCGACCATTAAACTTTGACTCGTGAAACTTGAGACGTTATAGCACACACAGATAATGGGAACTAAATTCATAACTCCACCATATGAATACTATATATTCATATATATAACTACACCATATGAATAATAAAATTAATTAGAGGAAGTTCACTTTCAAGATCGTTGGTTACGTGCAATAAACGACAGGATTTACGTACAATAAGTGTATTATTTATGTATTTTCCGATAATCAATATTGCTATTATTAGCCATTGAATTAACATTCATATACCATTGCCAGTATCACCGAAATAGAACTTCGGATATGAAATTTATGACCAACTCAAATCGATCATTATTTTATAATGACAGTTTTAGTCATCTGTTTGAAATCCTTCACGATTTTTATCGAAGAATTGAAATATTGCCAAATCTACATATTTCTGACAGTAACAAGCTTAAATGCTTCCTGTAATAATCGACCGTGACTAATGTTATATTCTAGAAAGAATTGGACAACATAGAAACAAGTATGAAAATGTGAACATGTTTACTCTGATCTTAAAAAATTATTTGAGCATTATCTTCATGAATATCAATTGGACAATGAAAAGTTCTATGCATGCGGACTACATTTAATCTAAATATGTATTTACAGATGCGAATATGAAATATGGTGCACAATGAACCCGTTGTTCAATCCAATATAAGGCTCCATTTTCGAGAAAAGTAAGTTTGATCGTTCATAAAGTGCACATACTACTGAACAAGTGGAATTGACTGCCACGTGTGTCCACAACTTACCATATCCACTTGAAAATACGCATGCGACGAGTATTAACAGCAAAGCTGCTATGATGATCGATCTCGGTCAGTATTTTAAATTATAATTTTCGAAAATTATGAAAATCGAATAAATTTCGATTTCAAACGAAAAGTACAAAATCCAATTGAATTTAATCGTTTCACTGTCATAAGGCACTTTTATTATATTGTTTATCTTCGTTAACTCCTTCTACTATAACGAGTGAAACTCGTGATGAAAATATCATACAAAATATATTGCATGTGAACATTATTCGTTCCTTCTAAATCGAAATAAATCTTGATTCTTTCATTATCAAAGCTTAGGTAAATAATAAATAAATAATGATAAATAATGAAATACAAGAAACAAAAATTTCTATTTAAGTTTCGTTTCGTCAGGGACAGCATTAACCCTTTTAGTGTCGAACAACGATACATCCTTGTTGGCTATACAGAAGAAAACGTTGTTTTCTTAACATTTTTAATAGACAACAGTTTCATTCTTTATTTCTTCTTCCTTTCTCAATCTTCTAATTATCAGGATTTTTGTCATTTCTTCCCAAAACTTTGCCAAACTACATCAAACAGGTCTGGTACATTTCGCTCAGGTGCACACGACTCTTTTGGTCGACGCAGAAAAGGGTTAGGAACGAAGAACAACTAATGGCCGGAGTTGCGAAAGAAATCATTGTGCAAGGTGTTAAAGACGGTATTAAAATTTTACGAAGCACTAAAAGCAGCTGCTTCATGTTGCTTCATAAAAATAACAAGCCAATATTTATCGAGACTCTTAGCGATTTTCATTACGATATCAGTCCAATGAAACAAATTTATTGAACAAATTCCACGTAAACGTTATCCTTACAATGTCAATCACGATATACGAAGAAATCTCGAACGCGTCAAGATCGCGCGTTTCGTAATGACAGTGGCGAAGTTGATTATTTTCAAGCAACGAGCCGAGCCCCGCACGAAGAACAGTCGGTTTCTTCTTCAAGATCGAACCGCCTCCGACAGATTGCACGGTGCACACCGTGCACAGAAGCACCTTGCACAAATTGCCCAGAACCACCGACTCCGAAGGGAACGTAAGGATTCTTCCTTTGAAAGAGCGAAGATTGCAGGACAGAGGCAAGAGTCAGAATTCGCCAAGCCAGTGATAGGGTTAACGCAAGAAACGTCGGGCCATCGATTGAACACGTAAGATCCGGAGCAGCGCACGGTCGGGTCGGTTCTATAACCGCACGGTTTTCCCGTAGCGGAACAAAGTAGAGCGTCGAGCACGTCGAAGCCCGCCGAGACGGGCAAAAAGCGACAATTGCTAGGATTATAGTTTCCATAACGAGAGGTTATTCGGCATTATCATCCCGGGGGCGAGCGGTGCGCGCACGGCCGGCTGGCAGGCAGCGAACGTATCATTAAAAATTCTAGTAAAAATTCCGCGTAACGAACAACGGTGCCCCATTACCTAGACCCGCTCGGCCGCGGCCGCTGGGTCTCTCCTACATAAATAATAATAACTGTGTACAACTCACTTGGCTTATCCAGATCAGATATCTCGAGCTGCGAGTACACCGTGGCAATCCCCAACACGAACACCGTGGTTGTAGTCGCGACACTCCACTGGCACCTCCACCACATTTTGTCTCTCTTCCGCGCACTGCACACACCCTCGAATCCTTAACGCCTGGCCTCGACGGACCTAACCTGCCGCCGCCGCCGCCCTTTTAGCGGTTACCTGGTCTCACGATCGGCACGAACCGCCACTAATTGCGACCAGTGTTGCTGCTGTTGCAGGCCCGGTTGTTCCCGTTCCTCTCGCTCGGCTTGCCGTTGTTGTTGTTGTTCTTGCTGTTGTTGTTGCTGTAGCCGTAGCCGGTGCTGCATTGCGCCGTCGTCGCCGGCATCGGCATCGTTCCGCCGGCTTTCCGACCACCTGGACTCTATCGCAGTTTTCGTTCCAACGGGCAACGACCACTTGCTACTCGATCGCTCTAACTGCTCCTCGACGCCTCGATGGTAATCGTTCCGCAAACGACCCTGCAGGCCTCTGTCGTCGATTCGATACAGCGCCGATCGCCTCCGGGCTGGCCTAATCACCGAGGCCGTGGCTCGATCAACAATTAATCCCGGACAAAGAATCGCAAACTGCTGCTGGTTGAGCGGAAACTGCCGCCTCGCCGAGAACAGCCTCGTGAACGGTTGGTGTAACAGCCTGCGCAGGGTATCGCGTTTTCCTCCGGCGAGAAAATTCGGAGCACGTGGCCCGAGGATCGGAGCGAAAGGACGTACGGCGTAAAGACGCGCGCTGCTAACAGGCTACGGTTCTTTCTTTTTTTTCTAGAAAAAAATGGCAGTGAGATCGGCGAGCAAAATGGACAAGCCGGTCGAGGTAATTGACCAGGTGGAGCCGCGCGTTGGCCACGGCGCGGCACGACATCGGCGATACGTTCCTCGATGGAGAGAAGCGGGGCCTTGGTCGTTTGGAATCCCGTCTCGTGAAAATCGTCGGTCTTGAGGTCTGGCTAGACCGCAAGCACGGCTACTAGACACGGCTCTAGTTTACTGCGCCACTGGCCCCGAATGAACTAGAGCGGGTTTGCCCCTATCTCACGGCTCGTTGCTCGCGGCGCAGAAAAGCGAAGAGGGTCGAGGACGCGAGGACGTTCCGCGGGGACCGGCGATCGGCGTAATTCAATTCTCTCGCGTCGATATCAACCGGCCGCCCGGCGATTAGTTTTCTGGCGAGCAGCGGCGCCGATTCCGCGACTCTTGCAGACCACCCGGTCCGTTTCGCGAGGGTAGCACAGCTCGAACCACGTGCGCTCACTGTTCCATGAGTTCGTCGTAGACACACGCGTCAGACCGACGACTGTCCACTGTTTCCGAGGAAGATGCATGCGTCCCGTCGATCACACTCGCTGGTGCACGGTGCAGAACCCTCGGCGAACTATCATCCCCTGTGGCGTCGATCGACGCGAGCGATCGATCGTCGAGAGCGGATCGCGTGTACCAGCTGCGACGACGACCGCTTTTGACAGGCAGCTGGTAACGAGCGGATGCGTTCCCGGCACTATTTTAATTGATACACTACTCGAAGCACCGTGGTTACAACCGCAAGCTCACCGACAACAAACCCCCCGTCTCGCAGAGCCACGTCGAGTCCTGACCCGTGGCGGCTCGGTACTGAACCATTCAGTACCGCGAAGGACCACCGCGAGTCGCTTCGGCCGTCTTCGTGGATGCTCGGCCGGCGTCGAGCACGCCAGCCTGCGTCTGTCTCTGTCCCGGGGGCAGCGTACCGTTTTCGGTGCCGTTTTCGATGCTGGATCGCGGTGGCGTCTACTACCTTTGCTTTCGGCCTGTTTTCCACGGCGCTCGCTTCTTCCACCGCGGCCCTTCTTCCTCTGCCTCTCCCGTTCCCCGGCATGGACGCTGCGCCGAGATCGCTATGATTTACTGGCGCGGCTAATGAGTCGCTATAATCGCTGCGGTGTAGGCAGGCACTGCGTGCACGGATGATTTTCAAAGGATCGACCGGCCGACACTGACGCGGACAGGGATGCGCACCCTCTGATCGCCTCGCTCTCACTCTCTCTATCTTTCTCTCTCTCTCTTCCTCTTTCTAGCTATCTATCTATCTCTATCTCTATTCCTTTCGTGGTCTACTCCTTTTCCTGTATTAATGAAAGGAGCAAATGTGACGCGTGGCCCATCCGCAACCACCTCCGGACGATACGCTTTTTATCAGCGAACCCTTTTTGCCGGTTGCTTCGAAGGGCCGTGTCGACCTGGATCTGGTCGGGACTTGTTTGTTGGGTACCTGAAGGCGGATCTGTTCGTTCGGTACTTCACGGTGAATCTGCTAAGTGATGCTGACCGAACGGCTGAGTTTATAAATTCGGTATCTGAGATTATTTGCATGCGAAACTTGCGGCAAGACGAAACTTTATTGGAATATTTTGGAGATGTGATATGGTAGTTGACGCGTTTTGAAATATTGTAGTCGTAGCTTTTCAAATTAGTTTCGGGGATTTTATGGAAATTGGCTGACGCGTCTGTTTATGACCTGCCGATTCTACTTCTCGTAAATACATACTCGAGTACGCGAGTCCAGTTGACTTATTTTGAACCCTTTGTGCGCACTTGAAGCTATTTTAACTTAAAAATTAAGATTTTCTTTGCAACGTGTAGTGTTTTCGTTATGTATGATTTTTTAATTGTATACGTATGAAATTGTTGTTAGTTGCTCGTCGTGTATGCTTACAGTTTTCACAGATTTCTAAATATGCATAGATTGCACAGCTAAATTATAAAGTTTCGTAAGCATTAATATAATTAGTTTAATTTGGTTTATTATTAGTTTATTATTTTAGTTTATTATTATATATAAAGTTTAAAGCAATTCGTACCTAATGGCCTAATATGACAATTTAATAATGAAAACGTTACTGTGAAAAACGATATGACAATTGTTAATGGTGCTTCGGAGTCGCCATTCGAGTGCAATGGATTAGATGAAGATTCGCCATCTGATAGTTTGTATCATAATTTTAGAGACACTCGATATATCTACAAAGTTTTATTAATATAATTATTTCCATGGACTTTTGAAACAGACTAATGTTTACAAAATCGTGTCGCATTCTCTCCAACTGCGAAGATAAAGTATTACTCTATTACGTAAATATTACAGTTGGATTAAACATAGCTATATTAATGTGGTCGTGAATAATTAGGCTGCAAATTTGATGCGTTTGTAAGAAAAGCGAGTAAATAAAATATAAAATAGAAGGAAGAGAGATTAAAAGAATTTAAGAGAATCAATATATTGTGTTATCAGCTTACTGTAATTATTAAAGGGGGAACGAATGATCATTTTGCATAAAAATCCGCGATCTACAAACAACCGAAAACAGTAGAAACTACCGTAATAAAGCTATTAACCCTTTGCACTCTAGCGACGACTCTAAGGCGCCACTAAAAATTGGTATACCATTTTTCAAAATCGTTCTAAGAGCATCAGACTCGTTTATATTTAAAAAGGAAGCTATTAAAATTGCATTATGCTTGCCGATAGGCTCAATTTCATATGCATAAATCGCAATAAATTATATAAAATAGAAATACCGTAGATCAGAAATCATGTTTTGGATTTCGAATTTAAATAGCTTCGACTGCAAAGGGTTAAACGTGTGAGTACAAATTAATGTAAAGAAATAATCAACAGAATACGAATCATTTCGCATCTTTCAAAAAAGATCCTCCAACATCCGTCGCAACTTTCTCCAGCTCAAACAAAAAGGTACTACATTTATTATAATTTCTTTTTGGGAAAATGATACCTGAGGTGCACTGATGGCCGTAATAACTGTCCACCTCCGTCCAATTACTCGCGACTAATGATATATGAGATACAGGAGTGGGATGGACAGTTATTACGGCTATCGGTGTGTCTCAGATCTGTCCGATCGAAAAACAGATTAGAGGGGTGAGAAAATCCGTTCAGAGATAACCAGAAGTCGTAATACAGAATTACTGTAGATGCACGTTTAAGGACTGTATAATAAAAAACGTAACGTAAAATTTCGGAGGCAGAAATTCTCAAAGATCGTCGCGTTACGCAACAATGACGCATCCTTTCAGCAGTCTCGTATATTAACGGTTCGAGAATTAATACGTTTTATGGCTCGAAAGCGGTCATAATTCTTGCATTTCGCAACAACGTGCGAATTAATTAATAGCTGTAATTTGCGACCGGATCGCCTCCGAGGCATCTTGACAAGGACATCACGCGGTTTCAAATGCCGTGGCACGGGAACAGATTCGTTCAACACCGGTCGCTTCTCGCGCGAATAGAAGAACTATGATTTATGTAGTTTCTTTCGGTATCTGGCGAAGAATCGGCAAACAAATTACGACACAACAAAGTGCACAAGGCGTACTTAACGAGCTGTTGCGTCGGATGTAGTTCCACTGCGAACTACAACAAATGACGGATTTCTCTTATACTCGCGTATCTGTACGTACTTTTATATAAATTTATGTATGAAAAGTACGTGTATCACAATTGCATCTAATTGCTCTTTTATAAAATAGTTGTTTAAATGCAGAATGTATAAACAAAATTACATATACGCCACATTTATAACGACAATTGTACCGGTGATTTTGAAAGCGGTGCTGAGGTTTTTATTTGTTTCATGTTCCAAGCATTTACATATATGTGTATTTCGGTATTATAAAAGTATCTGAAGCCGTGTCTATAGTTGTGTATGTGGTCTAAGATNGAAATACCGTAGATCAGAAATCATGTTTTGGATTTCGAATTTAAATAGCTTCGACTGCAAAGGGTTAAACGTGTGAGTACAAATTAATGTAAAGAAATAATCAACAGAATACGAATCATTTCGCATCTTTCAAAAAAGATCCTCCAACATCCGTCGCAACTTTCTCCAGCTCAAACAAAAAGGTACTACATTTATTATAATTTCTTTTTGGGAAAATGATACCTGAGGTGCACTGATGGCCGTAATAACTGTCCACCTCCGTCCAATTACTCGCGACTAATGATATATGAGATACAGGAGTGGGATGGACAGTTATTACGGCTATCGGTGTGTCTCAGATCTGTCCGATCGAAAAACAGATTAGAGGGGTGAGAAAATCCGTTCAGAGATAACCAGAAGTCGTAATACAGAATTACTGTAGATGCACGTTTAAGGACTGTATAATAAAAAACGTAACGTAAAATTTCGGAGGCAGAAATTCTCAAAGATCGTCGCGTTACGCAACAATGACGCATCCTTTCAGCAGTCTCGTATATTAACGGTTCGAGAATTAATACGTTTTATGGCTCGAAAGCGGTCATAATTCTTGCATTTCGCAACAACGTGCGAATTAATTAATAGCTGTAATTTGCGACCGGATCGCCTCCGAGGCATCTTGACAAGGACATCACGCGGTTTCAAATGCCGTGGCACGGGAACAGATTCGTTCAACACCGGTCGCTTCTCGCGCGAATAGAAGAACTATGATTTATGTAGTTTCTTTCGGTATCTGGCGAAGAATCGGCAAACAAATTACGACACAACAAAGTGCACAAGGCGTACTTAACGAGCTGTTGCGTCGGATGTAGTTCCACTGCGAACTACAACAAATGACGGATTTCTCTTATACTCGCGTATCTGTACGTACTTTTATATAAATTTATGTATGAAAAGTACGTGTATCACAATTGCATCTAATTGCTCTTTTATAAAATAGTTGTTTAAATGCAGAATGTATAAACAAAATTACATATACGCCACATTTATAACGACAATTGTACCGGTGATTTTGAAAGCGGTGCTGAGGTTTTTATTTGTTTCATGTTCCAAGCATTTACATATATGTGTATTTCGGTATTATAAAAGTATCTGAAGCCGTGTCTATAGTTGTGTATGTGGTCTAAGATGACAACTTTTCGTTCATTTCGATAGCGGTGCAAGTTACGGAATTGAAATCGAAAATATTGAAATCCTGAGCTAGATATTTGTAAAATGTATAATCTTTATACATATGTATATATAATACATATATGTAATCTTTACGTCGAAAAGTGTGCAGGAAGTGTTGAATTATTTATCAATTTACATTTTCATGCACCACGTAAAGAGACGTGCCGAAAATGTGACTTATTCAGAAGGAACCTGAAAGCAGCCAGCACCGAGGATGACTTGTTGGTACAGGATTTAAATAGTTAATAGCACTAAGCAATTTATTAAGCAACTTTGAACTGTAAATTATGGACTTTCGGAAATCATAAAATGATCACCGGTAGATAACGTCTTAACTAATATACGATAAGTGTCCGTTTCAATTTGCAAAGTTAGACAGCCAGAAATAATATTCTCGATAATTAATATAAAAAGAAAAATATACATGTAATCGCGTATATGTATCGTATTTTTAAATGAATGTTTATTGTATGTCAGCGACTAGGATTTAATTTTGATAGTGAAAGTATTCAAAAGATATCCATTTGTTATTACAAAAATGTTACAATGGTATATAAATTTGATATTGGAAGATCGTACAGTGTATAAAATATTTTGTCCTACAATAGAAAAATACTATTTAATACGCTTGAATACAAATGTCTGAATTTTCAAAATTATTGACAAGATCATATTTCTATATTCGAATAAATCAAA